CCCGCACGCCTAGAGCCCGTGCTCCGCAATGAGAGAAGCCACCGCAATGAGAAGCCCACGCACCGCAACGAAGAGTAGCCCCTGCTCACTGCACCTAGAGAAAGCCCACGCACAGCAATGAAGACCCAACACAGCCAAAAATAAATGAATGAATAAAAAAATAAAAAAAATAACGAGGGGAAGCCATCGCATCAGACGTCAAGCTCCAAGAGGACAGGGACCACCCCAGGACAACCCACCTACAGTCACAGAGCTGGTGAGGGGCCCAGTCAGGATTAGGATCTAGGGCTGCTCCACAGAGCCACGCTAGGCAGAGGAAGGTTATCTCGCTGCCTTCGGGATGGACACAGAACCTTGCTCGGGGCAGCTGCTTGCATGGTGGTGCCTGCATCTCCCTCCCCTTGCTATCTATCCGCCATCACCAGTTACTATCAGAGTAGATGACACTTCTTGGGTAATGGCTCCAAGAGCGTCATGCATATTAGCTGAGGCCCAGAGAGGCTGAGTAACTTGTATGAGGCCACACAGCGAGGATTCAATCCAAGGCCATCTTCACCTGAGCATCCTGACACCAGGCTAACCAGGCTCCTGCTGACGGTGGCCAGCAACCACCATCCACCACCCACCACTCCCACCCAGGGTCCCCCTCCCACCCCCGCCTCCCCTGGGGCCTGGGTTGGCACTTACAGTGGCTGGTGAGGCACGGGTGGTGTGGGAGTAGGACTGGCTGGCACTGCCCAGCATGTAGCCGCCTTGGATCACGTAGGTGCCTGCTCCGCTGCCACTGCTGCTGCCACTGCCACCGCCACCGCCACCGCCTCCCCCGCCGCCACTGCCGCCGCTGCTGCTGTTGCTGGCCCCACTCCCACTGCTGGTGGAGCTGGCGACGACCTGGCTGCCGGACACGTACATGGGCACAGAGCCACTGCTGGCCACCGCCTGGGAGGTGGCAGGTGTGCTGACCTGGGCAGCCGTGCCCGCAGCCTCGTAGTAGCTGGTGCCTGCCGTCTGCGTGTACAGCGGCGTCTCGGGGTAGGGGTAGGTGCTGGAGCGGCTGCAAAAGTAGAGGGAGGGAGTCAGGGGACAAGAGCTGGGTGGCACAGGGGCATGACTGAGGGGGCAGAAGGAGAGCAGGAAGCAACAGCCCCGTGCATCACCCCAGGTGCATGATGGGCAAATTTTCACTTAATCCTCAAAGTGGCCCCCTGACTTGGGAGTCCCTACTTCAGATGGGAGGAAGTGGAACTGGAAGAGCTAAGTAACTTGCAATAGGCTACACACTTCAGTAAATCATAAAAAGAGCTACTGAGGGAATTCCCTGGTGGTCCAGCGGTTAGGACTCACGCTCTCACTGCCAGGGGCCCGGGCTCAATCCCTGGTCAGGGAACTAAAATCCCACAAACCACGCACTGCAGCCGAAAAAAAAAAAAAAGAACTATTGAGTGCCTGCTGTATGCTGGGCACTGTTCTAGGTACGCTGGACCCAACAGTGGATGAGAGAGAAAAGGTCCCCCACAGGGGAGTTAATGCCTTAGCGAGGGAGCCAGAGGAGAAGCCAAGTGCAAAGGTAAATTGAGGGCACTTCAGAAGGTGGTACACACCAAGGCACATGAGGCAGGAAGAGGGTGCTGGAGAAGCGGGGGCTCTACTTCTAAATCCAGCAGCCGTCACCCTGAGGGGCTGGTCAACAATGACTATCGGGGTACAGATGTGTTTCCCTTTGACCCAGAAACCCACCCCACCCCGGAGAGCTCTCCAGCTATCCCAGGATCTGCATCAGGTCACATGAGCTCAAGGCTGCAAATCATAGCAAGAGAGTAAAAATGACTGGCGGCGGGGGGGGGGGGGGGGGGGGGGGAGGGGGGGGGGGGGGGGGGGGGGGGGGGGGGGGGGGGGGCGGTCCATCTTTAGTGGGATGTCAAGTTAAAAGGTGATGGAATCTTACACAGGGGTGAGGAAGGAGGAAGAAGGTCTTGGGGTCCTGCCAAACAAGCTCCAGAACATTCGGTTAGGTGAACAAAAGAGGCAGGGAAGGGTGCAGAGAGTGGGAAGAAGGGGGAGATTACATGGCATTTCGTATCTATATCTGCCATCTGTGAGGGTGGAGGGCCCGCGGACTGGGGGCAGGCACTTCACTAAACGTGGCTGGACACAGTTTTGAATTTTGAGCCCTCTCAATGTATTAGTGATTTAAAAACATAAGTTAAATTTTTAGAATCCAGAAAGGGAGGGAGGCCCGTCAGGAGCGGCCTGGCTCAGAAGGTGCTGAAGGATGCAGCGGAGGGAGTCTTGGGGGCCTCTGCGGGCAGCAAGGAGAGGGACTGGGCTGGGGGATGTGATCACTTGAGGTGCGCAGCATTGCCCATCAGACACCAGGATGCAGCTCTTGATCACTGTGCCCTGGTTCGCATCAGTTCACATCTACTGCACGGGTGACACCCAGAGTGCGTGACCTGAGCAGGGACTGGTAAGTGCCCATGCCCACCTCGGCAGGAGCCAAAACCAGCCCAGCACCCTACACGCGACACGTGCTCCCAGAAAACATTGCTTTGGTAACTGTTTGCTGAATGACTGAATAAATGAATGTGTGTATCTCTGGACACAAGCTGGACAGGGCCAGGGACGGAGGCCCAAGGGCTGTGGCTTTGGTCAGCGTGGGGATCTGGACCAGCAAAGGGCTGGGAACATGGTAATGACCCACTATGAGGGAGAGGTAATATACAGTGTCCTCAAAAACTTCACATAGCAGAAGAATCTGATGGCAACAATGGACTCCGTGTGATCAAACACATAAACACAGAAGGAAGAACTGAACCCAGAAGCAAAAGACAGACCGGGACTTCCCTGGTGGCGCAGTGGTTAAGAATCCGCCTGCCAATGCAGGGGACATGGGTTCGAGCCCTGGTCCGGGAAGATCCCACATGCCACGGAGCAACTAAGCCCTTGCACCACAGCTACTGAGCCTGCGCTCTAGAGCCCGTGAGCCACAACTACTGAGCCTGTGTGCTACAACTACTGAAGCCCGTGTGCCTAGAGTCCATGCTCCGCAACAAGAGAAGCCACCACAATAAGCCCGTGCACCACAACGAGGAATAGGCCCCGCTCACCGCAACTAGAGAAAGCCCGTGCGCAGCAACGAAGACCCAATGCAGCCAAAAATAAATAAATAAATAATTTTATTAAAAAAGAAAAAGAAGCAAAAGACAGACCAGGAGAGGCAGAAGAGCCCCTGGGGGCCCTCGGGAGCCCGGCTCCTCTTTGGAATGTCCTCTGTGGTCCCTGCCAATTCTGGTCAACTGCACAGATAAGAGAGACTGGCAGCACTGGAAATAAATCAACAGAACTATGAGGTAGCTGCATGCTGTAGACCACGACTCAGGTGCCAGGGTCACACCCTTTGGGGTCAGCCACAGCATCAGGACCCAGAGACCAAGTCGTTCCATGAGCTAATCCACCCCCAGCATCATGCCCACAAGAACAGGTGGCAGGGACATAAGAAAAAAATCAGGCAAATGCAAAGAAAGCCAAATGAAGCTTCCAAAAACTGAAACAACAACTAGAGACTATAAGCCCTGGAAATATTCCCATGGAGAAGGGGAGCTCCTTCTCCATGGTAATATATATGGAGCATCCCCAGCAAGGAGCCAGAGCCGGGGTTAAGGCAGGCCTGGGGCTGACATCTGCCTGATGTGGCACATGCTGACGCTGAGCTGTGTGCAGCACCAGTGAGTGGAAGTCACCTACGTGTTGGCTGGGTGGGGACTGGCTATGTCATTCATGCTGCGGCTGTATGATGGAGTATCACACAGCAGTTAAAGAGGGTGACTGGGACCCACATGGTCGAAGAGCTTCGAGCTACATGGCAGGGGAAGAGATAGGGGACAGAACACGCTGCCTCTATTTCTGAACAAAGAAAGGGGGTAATTTCTATTCTCAGAGTATCTCTGGGAGGAAACAAAGAAATGGGCCACAGCCTCCCCTCTGGGGCATGTTTGGGGGTCAGGAGTGAAGGAAACTTTTTTTTCACAGTTTAACATTCCCTATTCCTTAGAAATTTTTATCTTGTAAAATTAAAAAAAAAATTTTCCCATTTTTGTTTTCTGTTTTCTTGCATAGAACCAGACCAACCTGATTCCAAAGCTCTTATGCCTTGCTGGGATGCCCTTCCCAACTTGCCAGGGTCCCCTCTGCTTTACCGCCACTTGAGGCCTTGAAGGCTGGCTGGTCCGCTGGGGGCTGGGGCCTCAAGTCCCAGGGGGTCCTGAGCAGACCCATGCCCCTCCTCCTGTCCCCTCCCCACTCACATGGCGCTGGCCGTGTAGCTGGCATCACTGCCCTCCACATACTGCACTTGGCTGGAGTACACATGTGGGACTGGCACCTGCTGGAGCTGCTGCACCTGGCACAGGAGGAAGGGTACACAGAGGGTCAGGGGTGGGCCAGCTCCTCGCCTCTGCTTCTAAAAGTCTGGCAGCTCCCCAGCTGGAAGGCTGCACTTCTGGGCTCTCTGAATACCCTGGACGGGGCCAGGGCTGGGAATCAGGCACAGCTGTGTCAGGAGAAGCCAGGACTCTCTGCTTGGGCTGGGGACAGTAAAGGTAGGGCCTGAGGTGCACAGAGGGGACCCCAGACAGGGTCCTACCGTGGGCGTGAAAGTTGAAACCCAGCGGCAGAGCCAAGTCCTGGTACAAGGCTGTCACTAAAGCCGGAGCCTGGAACTACAGACATGGCTTCAGGGCTGGAGCCTGCATCAGGGACGGACCCCAGTCTACAGGGACGCGGCCTAGAAACCTTGAACCGGATGCTAGGGGCGGAGCCGGGGCCAGGGGTGGGGCCCCGTTTGTGGGCCAGAATCTGGAACTACTGACAAAGTCTTTGGGGCGGGGCCTGAGTTCCCCACCCCATCCCCCACCCCAGTCTGTAGTGGCAGAGCCTGGGACCTGGAGCCCGATTTAGGGGGAATCAGAGGCGGGTCCCCAGACTGGCTGGGTGGAGGTGGGGTCTACAGGGCCTGCGGGGCCGGGCGCGGGCCGGGGCCGGCGGATCCCGCCCCCGCCCGCTCTTTGCACCCCGCCCATTCGTCCGCCACCTACTTTGAGGGCCGTGGCGGCCGTGCCGAACACTAGCACTTGGGGGACTCTCTGGATCCTGACCCTCTGGTCGGGGCTGGCTCGGGCCAGGAGCCCGGGCCGTGGCTCGAGGACCACTTTCTGCTGCGGCAGGAGCAGGTGCGGGGGCAGCACGCCCACCAGCTCCACCCACTGCTCGGCGCCCGGCTCGTAATGGGGCGGCGGCGGCTCGGGGCTGCCTAGCTGCGGGGCCTCCCCGCTGCACGCTGGCGGTTCCGGGGCCAGCACGCCCGGCCCGGGCCCAGGCGTGGGCGGCCGGGGCGGCGGCTCCGGTGGCGGCGTGGGCCGGGGCTCTTGCTGCTCTGCCTTCCTAGCGGGAAACTGACTGCCTGAGCTCTGGAGGACAAACAGAGACACTGGGGGGTCACCGGGGGCGGCCGCGGGTGGGGCTCCAGGCCTCCACCGCCCACGAGGCTGCTGAGCTCACTCAGCAACCCGACCAGAAGATCCCCACCCCGTGTGAGGGAGGGAGAACCGAGATCTCTCTCAGCGAAACCTGGGCCTTAAACTGCCAGGTGCCCGGAAGGAGTAAGGCTCCAGGACCGCATCCGCAGCCCAGGGCCAGAGGTGGAGCCCAGGATGGGGCTGGGGTTCTGAAGGCTCCAGCTGCCTCCCCACCTACCCACCCACATCCCCCCAGGGGAGCTCCACTCCCTCCCTGCGGCCTGAGGGGCCTGCACCCCTCCCCAGCTCAACCCAGGCCTAGCCCCAGTTTGCCCAGAGGTAGGTGGGGGAGACACACACCTCTTGAGCCACGTGGACCGGCTGGAGCCCTTGCACTGTGAGCTGCTGCACGGGGCCAGCTTTGGGCACTTGTGGAGTGGCCTGGACCACGGACCTCTGGGGAAGGAAAGGCAAGTCAGACTACGGTAACGATGGCGATGATGGCTGCCCACCTGCCCCTAAGCACCACCCCCTGCCCACGTGAACTCATGTAAGCCTCACAGCAGCCCCATAAGGAAAGACGCCACCTTTCTCCGGCTTTTCACTGCTGGCCCTGCACCTAGTGCCTTCCAGGTTCATTATCAGGTTGCCTCTGGGCGCCATGTTACAGGTGTGTAACCCAGGCTCAACAAGGTGAGGCTGATGGGAAGTAGCACTGAGTTGAACTTGGGACTGACTGAGGGGTTCCCTGCGCTCTACCCCCACTCCCTACATGGGTTATCCCGCTCGCCCATGATACTGGCTGTCCTTACTTCCATGCTATGGAGGGGATGCGGCATTACCCTCAGGGTACAGAGTGAGGGACAGAGGCTGGGAGGCGGGAAGCTGCTCAGTGATGGGGCCAGGACTTGAACCCAGGCCTAGAGGTTCAGAGGGGCTCTGGTGCCAGGCAGGAGAATATCTGTGAATCCTTCAGGGTGGGGTTTCTGCTTTCCTCCAGGGAAAGGGTCTATGGTTTTCATCTGGTTCTCCAGGGGATTGGGAACCTCCCAACCTGAGTGGTAACGACCAGATGGCAGACAGCCCTTGCCTCTTAACCTGCTCTGGCTGCCGGGGGGGGGGGGGCAGCTCAGAGTGAGGCCTCCTCCAGAAGACTGGGCATGGTTTTGGAGGCTGAGGCCTCTCGCTGAGCCCCCGAGGGGCGAGCCAGGACTTGGCCTTGGGGTTTCCTCCAGGCAAATGGGCCCAGAGAGGCCAAGGCTGTTTCTCGAAGCTGTTTCCAGTGCCTGCTCGGTGTCAGGTGCTTTCCACGAGGACGCACTTCATCCTCACGGCGGCCCCAACCGCCCTGCTCCCAGGCCCTCAGGGAGGAGCCGTTATTTAGGTGAGAACGTGAAGTCTGGAGAGAAGCAGAGGTGCTTGCCAAAGGCCTAGGTGGCAGGCTGGGGCTGGACCCCCATCTGCTGGTCTCTCACAGGCCTTCCCCACTGCAACTCCCACTGACAAGTGAAGGAGGACGCAGAGGCCGCCTGGCCAGCACCCTCGCCCCTGCCACTGCCCGCCTTTGCCTGGCACCTCTTGGGTGACGGGGACACTCTGCTGGACGCCGTGGACTTGCAGCTGCTGAGGCACTGTGCCCGTGGGGGCCCCAGCCGTCTTGCTGGAGGAGCTATTGGCCTGCACTGGCGACCGCTGCAATGGAAGGAGACACGGTGTGTGTGTGGAGCGGCCGGGGCCTGACAAAACCCTGCTCGAAAGGGCTGTCCAGAGAGCTATTAGGGGAGGGCAGCAGCCAGAGGGGACGTAGCCAACCACCTAAGCTGGTAACCATCCTTTGCATCCAAATGCCTGGTCCCCACCACAGCCCCAGTCATCCCAGATGCAAGGCTCAGAGTTCAGACCCATCTTCCCCAGCGAAGAGGGCTGGGACTCGAGCCTCAGCTCATGGGCCACCTGCTGCCTCCATCATCAGATGGGCTGCAGCCCTGAAGTGAGAAAGGATAGGTGAGGGCACCCCTGCTTTCCAGATGATTTGCTGACGCACAGATGGGGAGGGACGTGTGCAGGGCCACACAGTGGTGAGTGGTGGCACCGGGTGCTGACCCCAGGTGGGCTGGCTGCAGAGCCCGACAGCTCTGGGCCGTGCTGTGTCACAGTGGGCATCATTAACTGTTTCACACATTTCTAACTCGGGGCTCAGTAGGCTCTGAGGGCCTGCCCAGAGTCGCCAGGACTGAATGGCTGAGCCAGGGATCTGACCTGGAGCTCTGATTGCTGACACCCATGCTCCCGGCCACCCACGGCTCGCCTGCCTCCACACCCTCACTGGTGTTCAGGGGTCCCTGGATTCCATCCTGTGGTCAGAGGAGGAACCTCTACCCACCCTGTCAAGGGAAGAGGGGCCCACTTTGCCTCCTGGGATGCAGTGCCCTGAGCTGGAGCTTCAAGGCCCATCTCGACCCAGGGGAGAAGCTGCCTCCTCCTCCTGGAGCCGGGCTCAGCTCAGAGCCAGCAGGGGTAGGATCTGGCGGCCGAGCCACCCCAGCCAGGGTCAACAAAGACTTGGGAGGAGTGAGTCCTGACTCCTCTGGGGAGAGGGGTGGGGAGGGTGGCCAAAGGGGCCGCCACCTACCTCAGGAGGTGAGTGCACCTGCTGCGTGCCATGCACTGTCAGGGAGACCTGGCCACTCTTGCCGCCCGGGACTGTGCTCTGCACCACCAGACGCTGTGTGGGGAGAGCCTGGAGCCAGAAGGACCACAGTTCACTGACAACGGCCTGTGTTTTTTTTGTTTTTTCTGTTGTTTTTTTTTTTTGCTGTACGCAGGCCTCTCACTGCTGTGGCCTCTCCCGTTGCGGAGCACAGGCTCCGGACGTGCAGGCTCAGCGGCCATGGCTCACGGGCCCAGCCGCTCCGCGGCATGTGGGATCTTCCCGGACCCGGGCACAAACCCCTGTCCCCTGCATCGGCAGGCGGACTCTCAACCACTGCGCCACCAGGGAAGCCCCGGCCTGTGTGTTTTTAATGAGCACCTGTGTCGTGCCAGGCGCCGTTCTAGTGCTGCATGCCTGCTAGCTCACAGAATCGCCCTGACAGTCCTGATGCTGCAGTCACTCCCCCACTTCACAGAGGTTTAGGACAGTGAAAGTACTTGCCCGAGATCCTGGAGCCCATGTGCAGCAGAGCTGGAGTTTGTGTCCAGGGAGCCTGGCTCCACAGGGCACAGGAAATGTGCTCTCACCCTTGAAACCTGACAGGACTTTGTCCCGGTCCACTCTGGATGCCAGCACCCGGTGTGTAGCCTTCCAGGCGACAGACCACCGTGCACTCACGCCCCTGTGCTGGCTATGGGTTCTTGGTTCCTAACCGGCTTTGGCTTCTCTGCTTTGGGACACTGGGGCTGGACCCACCAGCCACGTTCCTTACTGTCAATCCTCAGGTCTCTGTTAAGATGACTCCTGCAGCTCTTCCTTCCCCAATGGGCCCTGACTGACACGGCCTCACCGGCTGGAGGCAGCAGGTAGGGCAGCCCCTGGATAGGCCCCATAGCCTATGATGCTGGTGAGGGTAGATAAGAGCAGGCCACAGGGGTGGGTTCTGCACCCTGGGGAGGCTGTGAGGGTGGGGGCTGGATGCGGGGCGCTTACCTGTTGGGGCACCGGGATGTTGGTGAGCTGGAGGGGTGACACGTGGCCCGGCTTGGTCTGCACACTCGTCTGGACCAGCAGCCGCTGTGGGGGAAGGAGGAGGGACCTGAGCCACGCTGGCTTCCCCAGGGAGGCCCGGCCCGGAGCAGGGAGGTGGGGGGATTTGCTGGGGCGGCAGCAGTGAACATCTTGATAAGAACAGGTGAGCAGATGGTTCGGGCAGCAGAACCAGGGGGGAAGCAAGGTACCCACGGCCACAGCCTCGCTGCCCCCCTCAGGTGCCCTCTCTACACACCCCTGGGGGAGGGGTGTGTGTCCTACCTGCTGGGTGCCCTGCACCTGCTGCACCACCTGAGTGGGGACTCCAGTCTGGCTGGCCGTGGAGCCCGGGCTGGCCTCTGACACAGTCTCGCTGGCCCGCATGGCACCTTCTGTAGGGAAAGGTCACCAGGTCAGCTCTGCCTGCCGCCACTGCCCCCACCCTGAGCCTGAGCCCGCTGGGATGCGACAATGCAGCCTGAAGCTAGCTCTGGATGGGGCTAGGCTCTCCAAGAATCCTGCCTGGCCCCTGGTCAGCCCCAACACTGCCCAACATTGGGGTGGGCTGGGGGCCCCAAGGGCCTATAATCCTTAACACCCAGAAGCAGCCTCCCTCCTCACCCCTACCCTCACTGTCCCGAAGTCAGACCAGAAGCGGTGACTGAGAAGCCATGATGCAGCGGAGGCTTGGAGGGATGGATGCCTCTGCCCAACAGGCAGGACTGTGGACCGTGACTGACCCCGCCCCCCGCCCCCCCGCAGGTCCCACAGCCTTGCAAGGCGTCGGGGCCACCTTCCTTGAAATGACCCCTGGCTTCCCAGGGATGGAAGCTGGTCAGAGAAGTCGCCCCAGAAGATCTCACAGGCCTGCGGCCAAACACCCCCTCCCTCTCCACCGTCCCTGCTTCCCAGTCCTCACTGGGGTGTAGGGGGGCAGAGGGCTTGGAGCTGGGCGGGCGGGTACTCACGCTGACAGGCAGCCAAGAAGAGGCAATCATAGAACATGGTGCCCACCTGCCCCACCGCCCCGGGGGAGCCTGCCCAGCACTCTTCGCCCACCTCTTTGGGAACAGCAGGCTGTGCGGGCGGCTTTATACCTGCAACCTTGGGGAGCTAATCCCCCCAGTGGATGCAGAGTTCCTGGCTGTCCTCTTAGGATAAACACACTTCCCTCCCAGTGGGCAGAGCCTTCGTGGGGCCTTCGTGGGGCTGGGGCCACTGTGTGGGGTCAGGAGGGAGGCTGGTACCCAGAGATGCTATCAGGAAGGCACGGGTCGGGTTTCATGCACATCTCGCTAAGTGATTAACAGGGGAGCTGGGGGCGGGGGAGGGGCGTGGAGCACGAGTGTCCCTGAGAGGCACTGGTTGGGAGACCCTCACCCCAGCTGGGACACAATCCACCCCACCCCCTCTGTGTCGCCTGGTTGCTCCCAGCAGTTTCAGTTGTGGGGTAGGGCTGGGGGCACACATGCACCTGCCCTTCCTCCAATGTGCTGCCAGAAGGAGCCAAGGTCCCAGTCCCATGCCCTGGGAGCCCTCTGGTGGGATTGGAGGGCAGTGGGCAAGGAATAATAAAAGTAACTATAGCACTTCCGGTGCCCCAGGCACTGCAGTAGCATCTTCCTGGGCAGCTGGAAATGGAAAGAACTTTTATTACCTCTGTTTTTAGCGAGGGCAACAGAGACCAGAAGAGGGGAAGTAACTTTGTCCGAGGTCGTCCAGCCGGGAACTGGCAGACCAGAACACAGGCTCGTGTCTGTGCCCACATGACTGTCACACCATGTGTGGAACCCAGAGTCAACGGTCAGGCCCAGGCTGAGGGCCCAAAGGCAGTGGTGTGCAGACTCAGGCCTGTGGGTACCGGAGGACAGTGAGCCAGGGGCCTATGGGGACACCACAAGGTCCAGAGCATCCCTTTGGGGCTCAGCCTCCAAAGCGGGGAGCTGGGCCTCAGCTGCTGTGGGGAGACATGGAGAAGGGCCTGGCCGGGACAGAAAGGTCACCCTAGGTAGAAGCAAGGACCTCAGGGGCCAAGTCTGGGGCAGAGCACATGAATGTATGTATGTTGGGTGTGGGGGAGTGGTAGCCAGATGTGGGGCGGACAGTAACCGCAGGCCTGCTTGGCCAGCTGCCTCTGCAACCAGTTCCAGGGGGCACCGATTCCTATGTTTTGCTGGAATTGTCCCTCGCATCTATTGTACTTAGGCTTCCCTGAATGGTAAAAGAGGAGGCCCTCCCTGAGCTGGCCCGCTGGGAGGAACCCGAGAAAGCCCCACGTCATGTGAGGGGCCCGGCACACCTGGGTGTCCATGAGGCACAGGAAGCCAGGCACAGCCCAAGGGACAGTGCCTGACAGAGGAGGCCCGTGGCAGGTTTGGCCTGGCTCAGGGTGGGCAGCGAATGGGGGGCTGGCCCCAGCCGCCTCCTAGGCCCCGGTGCCCTGATGAAAATGCCAAGGCTGATCCTTAAGCGGGACCCTGAGCAGTTGGAGGCCTGGGGACTTGCTGAGATCAAGCATCTGCCTGGGACAGGGAAGCCCTGGGAGCCAGTGTTGTTGCCCATCTCCTGCCTCTGGGGTAGCCCTCAAGGCCAGAATCCCCATCTTTGCCAGGCCAGGAGGGCATGCCGGGCAGGTGAGGTTCCAGAGTCTACTCTCTGGACAAGGGGCTTCCGATGTGTGAGCCCCTGTCTGCCTGTAGCCAGGGCAGGCTTCCTACCATTGTGTCTAGCCCTGGCTCTGAGTGTGTGTGTGTGTGCGCGCGTGCGTGCAAACTCCATTCTGGGCATGTGCACCAGACCAGAGAGGGCCCTGCTGTCTCAAGTCTCCAGTCAGGAAGCGGCAGCTGACTCCTGTCCCTTAACCTGATGAGTGTCTCTTCCTCCCTGGGCCTTGCACTTCCTCACTGAGACCTACTCAGGCCTCGAATGTCACGAGCTACTTAGGGGAAGACGGAGGGAAACCTGAGGCTCGACTCCAAGCTGGGACCCAGTTCACCACGGACAACAGATGGGGCAGTCATGGCCCTCTCCCTCCTGATCCTTTGCTCCCATCCTAACGATGATTTCAGTCAAAGGTTCTTTGCGGGGCCTGTGGACTCCTGCTGCCCCCAGCGTCCTGAGTCCCTTGTCTGCCCTGACCTCGGTTTCCCCATCTATGCTTGGGGACACTGACAAACACCCTCCATGTCCCTCTCCTGGACACAAGTCTTGTTGGACTCCCAAGGACTCCAGGTCAGAAGCAGGGAAGAGAGGCTGGACATGGTCCCTCCTCCAGCCCAGCCCTATCCCCTTCCACAGGCTCACTTTCGCTTTCCTAGGGACAGCTGGCGGGACCCTTCCACCCGGGTTTTGGGTGAGAGTCCGGTTGCCTCTGAGGACAGGGATTTATGGATCTAGAGGATTGCTCCTAAGCCGGGAAATTTGAGCTTCCTTCCCATCACCTCCAAAGTCACCTTAGGGCAGAGCTTGCAAGGATCGGGTTAGTTGAGCTGCTTCTGGTGCTGCTCCTGGCTGGCTTCCAGCCTAGGCTCCAGGTCTGGGTCCAGGGCCCCTCCCTGCCTCCTCCCTGCCACTCCCTGGGTCCCTGCTCAGCTCAGATTGCTTCTGGCTCTGGAGGAACCCCAGGCACCTTGCTGAAGCCTTTGCTGGTGTCAGTTACACCCCCACCTCCACCCCTAGGACTGGCTCACATGGCCCAAGGGCCACCCTTAGATAAAAGGGACACTAAAAGTGGGAGAGGGTTATGGAGGAACCCTAGGAAATCACGGCAAGGGGATGGCGGAGGGGTGAACGGAGCAGCACAAGTTCAGTGACAGGGCGCAACCCAACCTCCTCTTAGAACAAATCAAGGAAGCACTGCCCAGTAAGCCTTCCGGGGACAGGCTTGCTCCTGGCAGAACTGGGAGCAGAAGGGAAATGAAATTCCCCAGGACCACTGTGGAAGACAATTAAGCCACTGCCTGACCAAAGAAGGGAGGTTAAGATTCACGCCAACAGCCATTCACGCCAACACTGCAACCCGTCCACACTGAGTGCCCCACAGCAAGATGGGGGGACCAGGGGAGGAGGGAAACAAAGGCTTTGACCTGTAAGCACCAGGGACTCCCTGGGGGAGCGCTGGGAGGAGCTGGAGAAGACAAGGGGAAGGGAGGAGGTAGGCTGGGACTTGGGGTGTTCTGGGGCCTGGAGATGTGCCTCCATTGCAGACCCTTGTTCTGGGGACCCTGGACACCTGAAGCAGCAAAAGCCAGCACTCAGGAGGTTCAGGGCCAATAAGATGCCCTGTAGGCTACGAAAAGTCCTCCAGCAGTGACAGACAAGCCCTCCTACCTGCTCTTGGCTGCCCAGGGGCTAATGGGGTATGAGGACTGAGCTGGGTCAGGCCAGCATTCGCGAGGGATGAACCACCAGAAGGTCTGGGATGGGAGTGCTCCCGGCAGAGGGCAACGCGAGTGCAAAGGCCCAGAGACGAACTAAGCCTGGAAGGTTTGAGGAGCCACAGGAAGACCAGTGGGGCTGAAGCAGGTATGCTAGGGGGCAGGTTAGTACCAGGTAGGGCTGGGTGGCCAGCAGGCCTTGAAGGCCAGAGTCAGGAGGTTGGACACTTGTCAGCAGGGGCACAGGGAGTGTGGAGCTTTTTAAGCCCCTTCCTGTGAGCCACAGGGGGCCAGATCTCCTAGGGCCAAGAAAGGCCAGGCCAAGGTTTCTCAGAGAGTGCTCCCAGGGCCACCTGCCTTGGAATAATCTGGGTTGAGCTGGGACATGATGGAACCTAATCAAGAGCTGGCAAGAGGCTCCCTCTGGTTGCTGTGGGGGGAGGACTGTGAAGGGTATGAGCAGAGGCTGGACCAGGGTAGGGGGCCGTGGAGGTGGGAGAGGTGGTGGGTTCTGGCTGCATTTAGGAGGTGGAGCCAAGAGA